GCTCCGTGTACCTAACATGGTGTATGTCAGGGCCTGAATCCGTTCCATGTTTTAGGTACTTTAAGATAAACATGTCCTCAGTGTAAGCTTTGCGTAGCGATTTGATGCTGCTTTTGCTTCAAGGCTTCACGGCCTGGATCTCTTGCGCAGACCCACTTGGGAGTTGCAGAAGATAAGGGACACCAACACAGACTCCACAATGATAGGACCCTTATGATAAGGACCCGAAAACGGGCCCGTGATTGTCTGAGACTCCCACTTGATTCGACCGTACTTGGATGCTCATGGGTGGCAAAGCTGCGTTCATCCTAATTAGGTGCCGGAGCAGGTAGTCCTTGCAACTGCCTGTTCGGGATACACTGACTACAAAACGCCCTACGTTTAATGCCGTAGCCACCCATGAACCCGCAAGTACACTTGATGATATATGACATGCCATCATGGCAGTCGCTGTGCTGTCGGCACGGCATTTTGCCTTGCAAAACACAATGAACATTGTTTAACAAGTTCATCGCAGCAGAGTAACCACGGGTAGGTTGCAGCGACAATCTGCAGCTGCCAAGACTTTGTTGCCAAGAGATGTGTTGGGCCTCTTGCGAATCACCGGCAGCGGCTTGGTGCGATCGCTCACATCGCGGTTCATTCAGTGAACGCAACTGTGGCATCGCGTCCAAGATCGACAGAGATGGGAGTTTCAGTAACATGGGAGGGAGGCCTAGTATAGAACCCTACATATCTCTTATTAAAAGGGCCCTGAATAAGATACCTATCTTCTGAAACCCTCAGATGTCGCAGGGAGTCTCTCCCGATCGACTCCCGAAACGTGCAACTCGAGGTTCATGGGTAGTTATCCGTGGGGTTATAAGTAGTGTAACTATAACTCCAGCCCATATTATATAGACTTGTAACCCCAGTCATAACTACCCGTGAACCTCAGAGTACGCTCATGCAGATTTATACACATTGGAAGCTTCCCAATGCTGAGGCTCGCTTTGGAGCAGCCCTTTTCTGACATCTGAAAGTGAAGGGCCTTGTTTTGAGAAACGACCGTGGGGGCCTTAGAAATTAGAGTAGGGTGGGGGGGGAACTTGTACGAAATACATAGTAAGGAACATCCCAAATTCTATTGCTGATTCTTAAGGCCCCTATATTACAGGAATACCCCTTCAAATTCTTGGGGTCCCGTACGGATGAGACAAAAACTGTAAACACCCTTCAACTCATCTTATGGCTTCCCCGCTGGCAATCTTCTTTGTGCTCCTCTCCGCAAAGTACCTTTCCGTGCGGGCGCGCTGGTACTCTTCCGTCCGCAGGCGATGAATTTCCTAGGGTTGGCCGAAACCGAAGCATCCAAAACAACTATGGTTCAACCCAGAGCCTCAGCATATCGGGTGCCTTATAATCGTCAGAATCAGATTTCGGCACGCAATATACTTGAACTATAGAGCGAGGAGATGATACTGCTAAAAGCCTCGTATGCCTGTAAAGTAGGAATCGAAGACATGAGATGACAAGTCTCTGAGTGTCTGGAGTCTGAACTGTTGAAACATGATGCCAAAGCCACCGGTATAGAGTTTAGGGTTCAGGATTATATCGTACTACTACTACTACTACTACTACTACTACTACTACTACTACTACTACTACTACTACTACTACTACTACTACTACTACTACTACTACTACTACTACTACTACTTCTACTACTACTACTACCACTACTACTACTACTACTACTACTACTACTACTACTACTACCACTACTACTACTACTACTGCTACTACTACTACTTACTACGACGACGACTACTACCACCACCACTACCACTACCTGGTCTACCAACACTGATAGTCTCGATAGCTATGAACATCATGGTCAAAAAGTGATAGTAGAAAGAAACATAAAACTATAGGGATAAGGTGTAGGGGTCAGAGTTTAGGGTGCTGCCAGGTCAAAACCACTGGCGAAGTCCTCTAGTGCGGCAGTAGGTTTCTGTTTCGCGAAATCACGCACTCCTTAACATCTTAACCGCCCAGCGACTGCATGGCAGAAGTTGCATGGCTGACGCTTGCACCCCTTCTTCTTGAAGAAGAACAGACATGGTCGGCAGTTTCCATCACAGCCTGCGCTTACGTCGGTCCCGTCACTGCCGTCGTGGGCATCATGCTCCTTGGACTCATCGCTGGCAGTCGATGCAGTGGAAGCACTGCTGTTTTGCATCTTTTCCGTCACGGAGCTGAAGAACACTTGCAGGCCTTGGCAATCAATGCACTCCGCAGGCTCCGCCAAAGAAATGTGAACGCACAAACCAGGTTTTAGCAGAAACCGCAAGGATCCCTACGAACTTCTGACAGCAATCAACTGAGCCCACTGCTCCGCCAGTGTTGAGGTGCGGTTTCCAAAGACGGATGCAGCCTGTCCTCATCATCACTACGAGGAGTGATGGAACCTAACATCTCGTTCGCGGAGCAAGGCTCGCGATGCGATGGCCGTTTGACATCATTAGAAGTGACCATCTCTGCAAGCAAGACTCAGAGACTCCAATATCCACCAAGGATCTAGCATTAAGAACCCTACCCATGGCCTAAACATAGAATCAGTACCATAACCTTAAAACTAGTCTCCATCTACAGGATGTTGGAGTCTCCAGGAACTTCTGGGCAGACTGAACCTCTGTCCTGACAGAGCCAAGAGTGCTACATGGAACACAGGGGCATGCCCGACAACGCACCTTTCACTCTCAACACTGCGCTAGACACTCATGCTACGAACATACATGAGAACACTGCACAGGAGAGCTTCAGCAAGAGCAGCAGCAAGAGCAAAGCAAAAGCAAGAGCAGGAGTAAGAGCTAGAGCAGGAGCAAAAGTGGGAGCAACGGCAAGAGCAGGAGCAGGCGCAACCGCAGCAGAGCCAGGAGCAAAAGCCAGCGCGGGAGCAGGAGCGAGAGCAGGAGCAAGAGCAAGACCCGAGAAAAGTGGCGGCAGAGATAAAAATACTTCCAACAAATGGAAAGCTTTCCGAATTTCTAGAATTTCTATTGGGGGGGAGGGGGCCCCCCGTTTAATACTAGGGGGAAGGGATTAAGGAGAAGTATCAAGAGCTACACTACAGATTACCAAATGTGAAGGGAGCCACATCTTTCTTCACACATTCACGCATCTTAGTGTATGTGTGTATGTGTATATAGACCCATCATTCCACATACATACACATGCATACACAGGTGTTTGCCATCTACATTTACGTGTGTAAATGACGGGTGCTTAGGCAATCTTGCACAGTATGCACATTAGTGGCAGTATAAGGTGGGACCTGACCCCTTTTGCCCCTAGCTGTCGAATCTATACAGGAGTTTCGCAGGCGAGTCTTGGATTTAGGGCTCAATCATCTAGAATCCATAGCCATCGACTTTAAGGCCTAAGCTGGGTGTAGTTCCTGCAAAGGCTCTTCTTACATTCCCGACCTTTATGTTCCAAGGGACCCTGTTGTCGTCAAGAAGCCGTAAACCCGAATATCAGCCTTGAGCCGCAACAAAACCCGAAACCACAAAGAAACGTAAAACCCTCATGAACCCCAAACCCTAAACCCAGATAAAGCCCAGGAGCACGTGATGTAAGGATCAGGGTCCAGGGGCAGAGGGTTGAGGATTCAGGATTTCGGGGCTGGGGTTTCTTTGCTTTAGGATGTTGATGTCGACTTCGGGCCTCAAACGTCGGGTTTAGGCCTCAAAGTTCAGGGCTCATAAGGCTGTGGGTTTTCAGTTTCGGATTTCAGGTTCAGAGCTCCGACTTTCCGGAGGCCTTCCTCAAGTCTAGCCCGCTGGTCATTTGAGTGTATCACTCTCACAATAAGGACTTTAATTCGGCAATAAAGACTTTAATTCGGCAATAAGGACTTTGATTCGGCTGCTACGTTGAGAACCCCCTTTTACGCCCAGGCCCAAGTCCGAGGACCCGTGGAAGAAAGCGTGGCACCTACAAAACCCAACCTACAGTCCCAGGCCCTGTACATCCAAGGCCCTTGACCCAAACCGAAATCCAAGCTCTCCGCCTAAATCCTGAAAACTTATACAAACTCCGAGTTTACCGGGCTGAGGCTTTAAAAGACAACGACCGAGAGTCTTGAGGATGTATGGAACGTCAGCCCTGCACGCAAATGTGTTTTGGGAAAGCACGGTCAGTCTGAACAATCCATGCACAAGGCAGCTTACTGGTGCTTAAAGGGGGAGTGGGAGAGTGCATCTGTATAATCAACAGTCCATATATCATCCCTTCTACTTGTCCTTTATAGTTATGCCTTCCTCCACTCTTCCTTAAGCACCAGTAACGTAAGGTAAACAACTCCAGGTTCGGGTCTAGGGTCCAGGGTTCGACTCGTCGTGCTGTCCGTGCAGTAACTTTCCGCGCAGGACACACGAAGAATGATTACCCAGACCGCTTCGGTGCTTCTAAAAGTAGCACGGTCAGGTACGCCTTCGGCGATGCTTAGCGCTGCTAACACACCGGTGTCAACAAAGGACGTAGAGCTTGCACACGAAAACAGCGTGGCCTGTCACCTTGCCTACTGCATAGGCCGAAACAGCAAAACATGGAACATTGTCTGTACTGCGGTCGGCAGGGTAGCATAGTAACAGATGCGACGGTAAACATCACTACTAAAGCAAGTGGTATGGCGGAACGCCCGTTTGCAGCAAGCGGATACAGCGACAGGATACATTTGGGCGTTTCCGAAAATTAGGGGTACCTTATTTTGGGGTCCCTATAATAAGGATCCTACTATTTACGGTGCTATGTTAGGGCCCCCTATTTTCGGAAACTCCCATTTGCTTAAAACTGAAAATCCATCTGAGAGCGGCCCTGTGTACTTTGAAAGCAGATGGCCGAGTAGATGGTGAGGCCAAGAGGAACCAAGCAAACAAAGACCAGCTTATGAAAACCGCGACCCGCGAAAACATGTGAAGTCCCTAACACCTTTCTCGACTAAACTACACACAACTTTAAGCTTGCCCTCCGTTACTTGTGTTTGCCTTCTTCTCTGCGAAATGCTTCAGACTGCGGGTTCGTTGGTACTCTCGTGTCCGCCAGCGATGAACTTCCTTGATGAGAGCTTATGACCGTCTCTGGTCTGGAGTTTTGGGGGTACATTTGGGTGGTTGTCAAATTGGGGTCCCTTTTTGGGTACCATAGATAATCGGTGCCGTATGATAATTGGTACCCAAAAAGGGACCATATTTTTGACAACCACCCATTTGGCTTCTAAAGTGGCAGGAGCAACAAGGAGTTAAGCCTGGCTGCAGCATGTCTTGGGGATAGCAAGGCAGGCTTAGCGACTCAGCGACTGGTCACTGTATAAGTACTCAACATCCCAGATGCAGGATCGACTCGGAGAAGGCAGATTTTCCGAGGCTGTTTTGATTCTACCACCGTTGCTAAGAGTGGAGATCGCACCCCTGACGTCTCCGAGTGTGTGGGGTCTTGCCTAACTTGCCACTCCATGCGGTCGAAACAAAACCACAGGCTACCAAAGGCAGTCTACGACGAGAAGCCTCCCAGGACCGTGAACCTCAATACCTTAACGGCCGAGCGACTGCGTGGCAGAAGTTGCATGGCTGACGGTTGCACCCCCTCTTCTTGTAGAAGAACAGACACGGTCGGCAGTTTCCATCACAGCCTGAACTTGTGTCGGTCCCGTCGCTGCCGTCGTAAGCATCATGCTCCTTGGACTCGTCGCTGGCCGTTGATGCGCTGGAGGCACTGCTGCTCTGCATCTTTTCCGTGATGGAGCTGAAGAACACTTGCAGGCCTGGGCAATGAAATGTCTGCTCTAAATGCACGACCACCAGCAAGCACGAGTAACATGGCAAAAACTCAAGAGTATCAGACATAACTAGACATACTGGGAATGCTACTGTATGTATTCAGTACCATTTCAGAATGGTGAAGGGCTGACAAGCCATTGCTCTGCATTCAACTGAGTCGACGGCTCCGCCGATGTTCAGGTTTTGCATCCAGGGACGGATGCAGCCGATCCTCATAGGGACCCTTTATTCATTAAGTCCTTATTACTACACCCTCTCCCTGTTTCCCTAGGAGTCCCCATGAGATCCTCATCATCACTGCGAGGAGTCATCGACCCTGACAGCGCCTCCGACGAGTACAGCTCGCCAGCGGATGTCCCGGCAAGACCAATGAAAGCAACCATCCTGGAAGCACCTCAAAGAGTGCACAGAACCTATGGAAAGATGCTTCCTCTTGAGCCCCCAGCGGATAGGGTTTGGGATTTAAGGTACAGGGGTTCAGGGGTTTAGGGTTTACGAGCGGCAAAAGCAGAGAGGCCCGAAGCCCCGAAAGCCGAAGTCCAGAGATTCTGCCTGGTGCGAATTTCGGCTGCAAGAAAACCCTGCCCAGAAACCCCAATATCCCTCAACGGCTGTCATGGGAGTGTCAAATGCCGTGATCAAGACTAAGTAAACTAACAACAAGACAACATGATGATGTTACAACTACGGGTCATTCTGATAGGGTGTTCCTCAAATCGGGAATGCTGGCGATTGGCCAGGGATGTTGAGGCAGCAGCGAACTGCGAAATCCTGAAACATGCGACTGGACACGAAAGCTTGAACCTAACATCTGGTTTATGTAGGAGTTTTTCGGTTTAGGAGTTTAGGATTTAGGAAACATGAGCTCTCGCAGCCTTCAAATCCTTAGTCCCAAACTGCGCACTCTCGACACCTGGCATCATCCCCTCTGGCGAATGACTTCCTGGGCCCCCGGTCATCTGCCGCGAGAGCCTGCGACGCCCCGCCTCAGCAAGATTCTTGGAGTTGAGAGGCACTGGTACGGCTCCAGCAATTTCAGGCCTTCAGGGTGCGGGGCGTGCAAGGTTCTCTAAACCATGCTCGGGATGTTGAGGGCTTCGTTTACTTGTTTCAGGGCTTCTAAGGAATTAACGATTCATGTTTTCGAGCTTTAGGTCCAGGCTTCGGCTTTCGAGGTTGAGAGGTTAGGCCTAAGGTTCCTGACGTTTTAGGAAAGCTACTAAGCCCTCAACTCCAAACCCCTAAACCGGTTCCAGGGTACCTCAATGAACCCAATGTCTCCTCGACCTCAGTACAGATAGTAAAGGTCCCTTCTTACGAACTTCTGATTCTGTGAGTTTCCTTGGAGAACCCCTCGTATGGAGCGTGGTTTGAAGTATCCACGATTGAAAGACCAATAAACAGCAAACTCTGATTCCTGGAGCCTGCACGACTAAAGGACTGCTCACACACTAGAAAACTGCTTCTCTGAAAAATCCGGTCGGCAGTTCCTAAAGGCCCCATGCTCGAACAGTCCCCCAGACAGACTGGCAGCGCCGAAATCAGTGTAGGGTTCATTGTACCTTGTAGGACTCAAGATTTAGGGTGCAGGGTTTACTAGGAGGTGATTTTAAAGCCTTTGTGAAAGTTTAGTCGGTAAGTTTGACAAATATTGGTAGGTAAGATCCTCTTCAGCCCAATAAGAGCAAACATAAAATAGTCCCAAAGCCCTACCTAGCTTAGATTCACCCCCTTAACCCTAAACCCTAAACCCCTATAAACCATAAACCCTAAACCCTAAACGCTAAACCCCTAAACCCTAAACCGTAAACCCCTAAACCCTAAACCCCTAAACCCTAAACCCCTAACCCCATAACCCCTAAACCCTGAACCCTAAGAGTACCCCGGGGAAGAACTCCCGAGGGCTCGGGGCCTTGAGATTTAGGTCAAGCGGCAAGCAGATTTTAGGCGGTTAGGGCGGTTATGAGGCTTAGGGTTTAGGGTGTAGGGCCGTGTAGGGTTTAGGGTTGTAGGCAAAGCAAAAACAGCTGTACTTGATTGAAGCCTCATGATCATACTCCTAGTTATTGGCTTCAAGCCCCAATTCAGCCATCCCTTCTCCTCGCCATGAGGTGATCAATGATCCCTGCACCGCACAACATATATACTATCACACCCAGCACATAACAGGGTGGTTGTCAAAGTTAGGGTCCCTTCTTGGGCACCATAAATATTAGGTGCCGTATTAGAATAAGGACCCAAAAAGGGACCCTAATTTTGACAACCACTCGACCCTATAGCGAATGCTCCGACCCGTACTTGGGATTCTTTTCTCTCCCGCGGTCCGGTCCACGCCGGGAGCTGTGCACTCGGCGAGGCAGAGAGGGTCCTGGTCAGGATTTCAGGTCTAAACCCACAGGGTTTGGGGTTAGGATTTACGGTTTAGGGGTTCAGGCCCGTTTAAGGGTTCGGTTCAGGGGCTGGTTCAAGGCCCCTTTTGAATAAAGAGATCGGGCGAAGCATGGCTAGCAATCTCGTTCCTGTCTTTCCTTCGGCATCGTCAGGTGTACGAGGTGTGCAATCACCTTGCCATAAGCAGAGGGACAAGATTCCCAAGACCCTGTTTCCGGAGCAAGATCCACCCGAACTACCTCAGTTGCCTCAACACGGAAAATCACAACTGCGTGGAGAGTCCTTTGCTTGCAGCACTCCGCACTGTGTCACCTGTGCTTGTGGCGTGGTGGGTCAGGTCGTGGGACACCTAAACCCTAAACCCTAAACCCCAAACCCGGAAGCCCAAACCAGGAATTATCTTAGACTTCACCGGCTTTGCTAAAGAGACCTCTGCGAAACCTGTGCTTCCACCAACGTTGAGAGTAGACGGCTTGCGGCTTATGGTTACTTAGAGGATCATGGGACTTAGTAAGTAGGTTATAACTGGGGTTATAAGTCCCCTAAGTGGGGCCTACTTATAACCCTACTTACTAAGTCCCATGAGCCTTCAAGTATGGGTCAAGCTTCAAGCTGACTAAGCCGGCAACGGGTATGTGCTAGTACTGCTACAGGAGCTAGATAACTGCTTCGTATGGAATATAGGCGAGCGATTGCCCACCGAAGCTTTCCCCTTGCAGACTAGCCAGGAAGAACCTGCAAGCATAGTCAGGAAGAACCTGCAAGCATGCATGCATGACGAAGTAACTCCCATCCCTGTAAAGCCCGTAAACCCCAAAACCAAGCCCAGAAGCACCAAGCCCTACAAAGCCCAAAGCCCTTAACCCAGAGGTCCTGAAACCTCCTAACCTCATAAGCCCTATATATACCATGTGCCCAGAAATCCTTTCAAAACCTCAACCCCGATAAGGCCTGCACTGGACAGAAAGCTTGAGCCTGCTGAACAACATGACCCGCTTTGACGGCAGAAATCAAAAATCGTATAAAAACCCTTGAAGCCCTGCAACCCCAACACCCTGACAAAACTAGATCCTCAACCCGAAAAGCCCGAAGCCGTATAAACCCAGGTAAGTTCAAGAACTCACAAACCCTACTACCAAGTAAACCGTAAACCGTTTACCTGGACCCCCAAAATCCTGAACCCGATTAACCCGTTAGAGGTCCCACAGCTTGAATCTGATAACGCACTTATCCTAATGAAGAGGTTTGGATGACAAAAAATATCCCAATTCATACCACCCCAAAAGCATCCTGATCCTGGACGATTATGAATCTTACACCTCTCGCGCAGAGGTGCCTTGACGACCTCCTTCGTTGAGCTCCGCATCGGCCAGGTGCAAGGGATGCCGGTTTCCATGGACATCTAATCCTCGGCTGCGTCTTCGTTGCTTTGCGGTTGGTAAAGGGGCCTATAGAATTACCTTTCCTACTTTGGGGGCTCCTTACTAGAAGTATAGTCTAATGGGCCCCCCAAAACACTATTCGAATTTTTCCGGCCCCTATATTACAGAGCCCTACTATAGATCCCTGTCGTTCTCCATCTAAGGGAGCTGCATTCGGGTTCTCATTGTTGCCAGATGCCATGAGTCTTGTCAAGATGTGTCCAGAAAGGCACAGGGGCGAATCACATGGGCTTACAAAGGCACTCGAATTTTCAACAAGCAACGTGCTCAATCTCTCAAGGTCTGTGCATGACTATACATGATTGAACTCTACGCTGTCGAAGATTTAGATCAATCGTCTAAATCATACGTGTGTGCATTGCACCTCACTTCGGGGCTCAGCCCCATTCAAGCCGTCAAGGCCTGCAGCATTTACATCATGAAGTGGTTCTCAACCCTAGCCATGGTTAGGAAGGGGAGTTCTACACTCCTCCTTGGATGCATCGTTTCTTAAAAACGGAAATCCATCACCTAACTCCCCTTTCACGCAATGCTTGTATGCAGTACCTACAGAACATCCTTCTATTGGTACCAGCGACGTTACGCAATGCGTGACAATGAGGAAATATGTGCAGAGCTCCTGGAGTTCTGGAATTAGTCGTAATCACTTCCAGCTCGCACAATTGTGAGTCGGTAAGACCCACTGGAAAATCGGTCTGAGTTCCAAAGTCCCTCCTTTCAGAACCTCCCTGACTTCTACCCAAACCAGTAGTAGGAAGCGGAGGTGGAGGAGGAGGAATTGTAGCTCCGGTACCGGGTATGCCCAAAGTCAAAGGCCGGGTCATCCGGTCGGAACTCGAAACAACATCAGACCCCTGCACGGTGGCAGGGCTCATGTGAAGATGCACGTGAGAGGAAGCCTGAGTGGTAGGCGGCGGAGCAGGCATAACAGGGCTATCTGCTCCAGTGGTCCTAGCGCTGAGGTTAACAGAACCAACATCTCCGCCAATCTCCCTCTCAAGAGCTCGTCGCACAGCCTGTTGCCTCCGGCTCCTCCTAGAGTCATCATTTTCATCGACTGTCAAACTCGCAACCAAAGGTCTTTCACTGCTGAACCGGTGACATTCCCGAATGCAGTGTTTACCAACTTCCCACACAAAAAGGATGGAGCAGGCCAGCATCACACCCAACACATACAGATCTATCCCCAAGGTTTCTGCTTCTTCCTCCTCCTGAGAGGTGGCTGGAGTCACCTGAATCATGGTGAGGGCCAAGAGTAGCAGAACACTATAACCGTCGGTGGGGCTAGCCTGCTGGAATGAACGAGAAGCGGTCATTACAGTTCGGATCACCGGATCTTGTGGCGGTGGAGGGCCTACTCCTAGCAGGTCATTAAGGAAACCCAATCTTGGGGCTGGAAGGGCCTTGGTCAAGGCATCTGCTCGTTGGGTGTCGCCTGGACAATGCAGCACTTTGAGCCTTCCTTCCTCAAGCATTTCCCTCAAGTAACATGCTCTCACTCTCAGGTGTCTCGTGCGCTGAGAACCTCCACCTTCAGCCAAGGTGATGGCTGCCACGTTGTCCACATACAACGTCTTATCGATCTCCTGTCTCCATAGGTCTGCTGCAAGAGCTTGCACTGACTGTCCCAACACAACTCCTTCTACCGCTGCTATCAGCTCGCACTCTGCAGTGCTCAAACTTACAAGAGTCTGTCTCTTTGATTTCCAGAATACACACTTGTTATTCATCAAAACCACTATTCCAGAAATCGATCTTTCGCTGAACGGTGCGAAGGAAGCATCTGTGTAGATCGACAGTGCCTCTGGTCCCTCTGGAACAAGGGATAGCCTCAAGTCCTTTGTGCTGGCAAGATAAGTTAACACCCTTAACCCTATCTTCACCACAAAACTCGGGGATCTCGTAACCCAGCTGGACATTAATCCCACGCTATAGCAGATGTCCACTCTGGTCCTCTGTGACACCCAAAGCAACTCGCCTGTTATGCGTTGAGCGTCTCTCAAGCTGCTGGTTGGATAATCGGCTTCCTCTTCCGGGGCATTCTTGACCCAATCCTTTGGTATTGGTACCAAAGACCTGGCTGAAGGGCTCTCAAGCCGTGGCTGCGTATCAACTCATCTATGTACCCTTCCTGAGAGAGCGTGAACCCACAAGGTCCTTCAGCATCATATGCTTCATACACATCAACACCCAAGAACCTGAGTGCCTTGTGTGCGGTGGCCTGTTCAAGGTCGGAGCATTCCCATCGGTCCTTTATCCAAGCATGGAAAGCTTCAGCAACCAACCGCGAGGAAACCATCAAAATGTCATCAACGTAAACCAAAACGTAACCAACGTTGGTGCCGTCACTTAACACCATCTCCCAGAGGTTTTCATCCGAAGAAGTTTTCCGAAGAGTGGCTTGTCCCTCAGGAACCAGAAAGTTTGCCCTTTGAAGCTCACTATCTCTAAACTGAGCCCACCACTTCGGAGACTCCTTAAAACCGTAGACTGCCCTTTTTACTTCCCAGTACTCATCTGGGCTGCAGATGCCGAGAGCTATCAAAATTGCGGGGGGTTTTAACACATAGGTCTTCCGTACGTTGTCCGGAATCGGAGCAAGCAGAAAGGCACATTTTATGTCGGTGGACCAACACTGCCTTCTCTTGGAACCTCCATGTATCAGTAGCATGCGCAGCGTCTCTGCTGCGGCTCCAGACGCATAGAGGATATCCTCTGATACTCCCTTAGCGTAATTCCCGCAGCTCACAATGCGCACTTTACGGCGATATGGTTTTCATGGTTTAATGGTGAAGACTCCCTTCGAGGGTATCACCTCTGCTTCTGGTTGCCGTAGGAGTCGCCTGGCGGCTTCTCCGGTGTGCCGGACTATTGCCCCCATCTTTTCTAGAGAGCTCACTTCATCTTGTGCCGACGGTTTCCACCTGTCTAAATTCTTCCGAACGTCACTGGGCGAAACTTGATGCACAACCTCCAAAGGTCCATCTAAGTTCTCCAACAGGGACTCAATGTCTTGAGTGAATGCCGACTCCTCTACTCGCTCAACCCTAGGGGTGATAGGGGAAGGCAGCTGGGCAGTATCCTGCGAGCTTGTTGCCATGCCCCTCACGGACATTATCTCTGGCATCGGAACATCTATCCTACTCACAAGCTGGGGGACCTCACCGGCGCTACACCTATAGCTCACATCCCGACTATGCGAAACACCATCTGCTTCATCATTGAACGGATCTCGGACACTAGGAGTCATCTGAACCATCCTACACCCATAGTTACTGGACCCAGGTGTGGAAGGTGACTCCTCCAGGAAGACTGTTGAAACTTCTGCTGGCTCACATGCAACGCTTCCAACTGCACTCCCACTGGCAAGACCACCTTGTACCTCAATCGGAAAATTCACAAGTGCTTGAAACTCCTCCTCATCTCTGGCCTCCCAAATGGCCTGCATGCGCATAGCGTGCATGGAGGGCACATCTCCGTCCCACGCCTGTTCACCACAACTTGAGGCACCCCTTCCGGTGTACGGTGGATCTGTTGAGCTGCTTGGACGTTCAGCCCCTGGTGTGGTGAGTGACTCCTCAAGGAAGACTGCTGAAACTTCTGGTGGCTCTCCCTCACTTCCAGGGCTGGCTTGCATTGCTGTTGGCAAGAACACATCGAGATTCATTCCTTCAGCATATTCAGGATCCTGTAACGCAACCCAATCTTCTACATAGGGATCCGGCCGGGCTTGGGGACCTACTATACCTAATCCCGGAACTGGCGGTCCAGGGGCATGTTGGTTAAGGGTGCGATTCTGGATAACCCTTGGAATCTGGCGCTGCATGCGATCATATAAGCACACTTCTCCAGTTGTCAGCGAAATGCCGTTTGGATTGTCGGGTCTCATGGTCCCTGCTGGGTGTATGCCCATCATCACTCTTTGCGCATCCTCTATGGGTAGTCCAAACTCAACCAAGTCTTCCATATACAAATACTCAAGATCTGCGGGTGACTCTACGCCCATAACTGTCAAACGCTGGTACGTCCATTCAACTTCCCGCTCCTTCAAGTACTGGTAAAAGTCAGCTTCCTCTAAGTTGTACTGGGGCCTATTAAGGGAACCGTTACCCGAAGGGTCCCAACCTACAACTGGGGTGTAGCTGTCGGACTGCAAGTCTTCATTCAAATCAACACCAACTCGCGTCACACTAGGATCGGACGACGAGCTTGCCGGTTGCCCTTGAAGGGTACAATCTGTGCTGGAGGGTGCCGCTTGAAGCGCTCGGACCTGAGGAGCTCTCCCAGGAACACCTGGCAGCGGAAACCCCACTCCTTCAAGGAACTGTAGATCGACCTCTTTCAGCTTATGAGTACCCAGTGGAGAAAATCCAACTATCAACCAGTCTGGACTCCGTCGCACGGCGTGGTAATTGCGGGGGTTGAACCTGGCTGCTCGTGGGCCTAGCACCTTGACCTCTCCTGAGTCCCAGTCTGGCTCTGGAGCTATCGCCTCCTTGCCAGGTTTGTGCGGAGGGCCCAACCATAGTTCATGCTGGCCTGGAACACAGATGACAACATTGCTAGTTTCCCACTCATTTCGGTAGTCACGGTGGACTGGCACCTCTGCTGCGTGCATCAATAGCAGAGTACCCCATCTCAGATCCTCAAGACCCTCTTCCTCGGGAAGACGGCGTTGGAGTGCTCTATTCAGAAGCCGTACCAACGCGGGATATTTGCGCGCTAGCGTGGTAACGCCGCGCTGACCTCCATGACAGTACGCTTCTAGCACATATCTCCCATCAAAATCTCCCCGTCGGTCCTCCGTTGAAACCTCCGCGCGGGTCAACTGAGTCAGCACCCTCCTCAAACATGAATCTGAGTAGTCCTCATCCAAGAGTGCAGCCCTTGCTAACTGTTCTGGACTGGCGTCCCAATCCTCACAGAAGCTGACGCCGCGCACTGAAGTCTTCTCCTTCAACCTTTTGCTGGGCAAGGGAAGAATCGAGGCTTCTGGCATAACTTCCGGAACGGGTTTTAGGTGGGCTTTATCACCTGCCTCCGGGACCTCCTCCTCAGTATGAAGGGTTGGCAGCTCAAGGTCAGGCTCTAGCCTCACATCTACCAAGTTGGTCCTAAAACCCTTTGAAGCAACCAAGTTACCCTCCTTAGTCACCAGTACGTGACCGTCCGGGATAGTTAAGTGGGGTGCGGCGTAATAGGCGTCTATCCACCTAGTCATCAACTCCTTATGTGCACCCGAAGGTCTTTTGAGTTTGTGGAATACGGGCTGGCCAAAAGCGGGTAACTGCGGAAGCTTGAGAACCTGACGATTCTGGCATTCTGCAGCGTAGCGCATGGCCAAAGGCCAGTATCCTGCAGGGAGTTCGGCCGACGACAGCAGCGTGCGGGCACGAGACTTCATCCATCCTACGGTCCTTTCGGCCACGCCATTGGCTTGCTTGTCGGTGGGCACGGTGGTTTGTAGTCGGACCCCTTGTCCCGACAACCATGTCGACAGCCTATCTGACCCAAATTCAGTGCCCGGGTCGCAATGAAGCACCTTTACTGGATATAGACGCGAGATTTCCAGTATGAGCTTCTGAACACCGGCGGTGACGTCTGATCCTGACTTCGACTTCAGGCCCACTACATATCGAAGGGTAACCAACTCAACACCCGCGGTGCACTGCTCTATTTCTTCATCCAGATTGAGCTGCTGAGGGATTGAGTCCTCCTCCTGAAATGCGGGAATCGGGCCTAAACCCTTATCACCGGCACTATCACCATCTACCGCACTCACACCTAGGCCATCTGGCTTATCGGGAATCACTGGGGTCTGTTCAGCAACCCCTTGAAGCAATTCGGGAAATGGCTCAGCGTCTTCTTCCTCGCAGTCAAGGGATGGCTCGTACTCGGCTAATTCTTCCTCCAAACGTGCGTGATCATCGCTCTGGTCAACTCCTTCCTGCGGTGCGGGCACGCTACTGATCTCAGTGGGAGGTAAGACTACCGAACGAGGTAACCTGAAAGCCCCAACTAAACCGAATTTTATGTGTGGGTTCCCTGACACGGATTGCTCATCCCGGCCGCGCTCCAAGCCCGACATCGGCCCGAAAAGGTCAACTGAGAGAGTGTATGCTTGCGGATTCTTAATTCGTCTGTGCTGGAGGCCTAAACCAGAACCCTCCACACAAAATTTACAATCCCGGCGATATGGTATGTGTCCCCGTTGGACATGAGCCTTCCACTCTTCCTTCTGGGCAGCTGTCAGTGCTCCTATGCTAAGCTCCGGTGCCTGAGGTGTCTGGATAACCACCTGTCCATTGGCCTCTGACGGTGCAGATACAGTCACGGAGCTACTATCAGAGGAGGCGGATCCATCAGATAACTCATCGCTCTTCCTCCGGTATCCCTCACTGATCATCCTATCCAACTCCTCCACCGAGGGTCCCTTTACTCTTCCTTCAAAGGCTTCAACTATCTCTTTCATCAAACCAACAGACCAACCATAGGGCTGATCTTTTGTGGGAGGTTGCGGGGATCCCTGCGGTGGAAGACCTCTCAGGTGGCGGAGCGGAAGATTGGTTCCCAGTGCTGTGGGTTGAGACCAGGACTGACCAAGTGAACCTTGATGAAACCTCACAACCTCGGACCTCGACCACTGCTCAAATGCCTTCCAAGAGGAAGTTTCCCAAAAGGCATCTGGAGAAACCCCTCGCGCAGCGGAGTTGGAGTGCTCCTGACCGAGCCAGGGAAGTTCCTTTAGGACTTTAGGAAAGGAATGGCTCCATTCCTGGCCACCGAGGATAACGACCACAGAAGCATATCTTGCACTTGAAACAAGTTCTCCTTAAACTGCGCTGATCCAACCTCCGAAGAACTCCACACATCTTCACTGGATCTCCTTGGGTCTTGGGGATCTCCTTCAAACCACGTTCGGTGAGGTGGAGATGACAGTACAGCTGCGACACGGCCATTGGCCGCTGCCCATAGCAAAACAGACCAAACTCCATTAGGCACAGTCAAGTCCCATCCCTTTCCTCCCGGTTGCAGTAAATCAACTGGCAAATACTGAACATTCCGCTCATCACACCACTGCTTCAGCGGATCCTGAGTCTTCACTGGCCCTGCTCCTAGGTAGACAACCCATTGCTTAGAACCCAGCAGTGCTCGACGCTTGGGTCTCGGAAGAGGAAGCCTCTTTAACATGCTCCATGCGTGCTGGTCAGTGACACCCGGGAGTCCATCACACAAACGGGCCTTCAAGGACTCTGGCAGCTGTTGCAAGTAGGGCTGTGCAAACACCGCTCTAATCAAATGCCCGGTCGCAGAGGAAGATACGAATTTGCGCAATGCCTCGGTTGGGTCCAGAGGACTGGACAGCTGTCGAAGCTCAGCCTCCATTGCCTGCACACTCAAATCAAACTCCTTGAGTCTCTCCGCCTCTAGTTCCCCTATCAACCTTAACGCCTGATCCTCTTGTATGAAAGGACATGTGTTCGGCGAAATGCCCGTTTTCAGCGGTCCCAGCACCGGGTGGGTAACCTTTAAACCCTTCCTTTTACTCCAAGACACCGAACAGCCTAGTGTTTGCACCAACGCCCCCAACGGAAGGATGGTTTGTAACTGCTGTGAGTTCTCCGAAGCTTGGCTACCCGGTGGGACTACCAATGTTCCTCCATTTGTACGATACCATTCACCTTGTTGATCGCCTGCTAAGGTCACTGACACTCGCTTAAGCCCAGACATACCTGACTGGTACGGGACAACGGCGTGGGTAGCCCCACTATCGAGCAGAGCCTTGCACGCAGCCTCGCATCCTGCTAAGGTCTTAGAAACCTCCGACTTAACCGAAATGGCTCGGATCTCGTGCTCCTGAGCAAGAGCTCGCAGTGAGTCTATCTGGGCGCTCAAAGCAGCTAGCGTCACCGGAGTGCCCTGGGCTACAGTGGGCGAGGTCGGAGCGGAATTGGCATTCACCCCACTGGGGGCTTTTGGCGCAGGACTTATCGGAACGGCGGGCACAGTAGGAACTGTAGGAGTGGCTGTGGGCACGGCTTGCTGTAGGAGAAGGGCAGCGTCTGCAAGCATTGACTTGATGTGCTGGTGGGCACTATCCTTCGTAGGAACTGTGCCACTGGGGTTCGGTAAGTTGGCATCAGAAGCCTTAGGGTTAGCAGTGTTCTTAGGATTAGGGGGAGGCGACTTGAATTTCGCCTTCTCTTCAGTCTTCATGCCGGCTCGGGATTCATTGGATCGGTGTCCCTTGGCGCCGCAGTTCTTGCAGCGCTGTGCCCGATCGGCCTGAAGGAACCTCTTGGCGTTCAGGCAGGCGACGGCGACTTGGCGGAGGCGTGCGTGGTGTTGGCGGAGTCGGGCCTGGTGGCCAACATGCAGGATGTGCTGTACAACGGCAGCTACGTCAAGGTCGTCTGGGCGACCCACCAGACTCTGGGCCACCGTCTGCAGGCGCACCTCTTCAAGAGCAAGGAGGCGTGGGAGCAGGAGGCCGCCGTGCACCGGGCGCTGGGGAAGGCGTTGAACAACGAGGACGACCACGCGGTCGTAGAGGCCGTCCTGTTCTTGCCCAATGTGAATCAGCTCTCGCGCGCAGGCCACATGTTTTTCGCTTACGAGCAGTCCGGCGTTCCCTTGGTTGGCGATGCGGTCCCGTAGAGAATCCCATCCAGTTGTGCACGAAGGTGCAGTCTGCACCTTTCTTACATCCCGACGCACTAGTATAAAACGAGCACGGCACACCCCCCGGAGTGGTACCGTCTCCTGCAGACGCGCTCTTAGGGATCCCGGGAGGCTTAGGCGGTTGCTTAGTCTTCGAGGTCTTAGGATTGGCTGCCTCTCCAGCATCAACACCCTTAACCTTGGGATTAGGGTTGCTAGGGGTTTCCTTAACCTTGTCCTCCTTCGGCATTCGGTGGCTCAGGGCTTCCAGCTCAGCTAGCAACTGCGCATGCAGCTGTTCAACCTTGTTGCTGTCCGGACAGGTATCTATCTGGAGAGAAGCCCGGGTCAGGTTCACACGGAATTGCACCTCTGGGTGAGCCTGGAGAGTCGCCTTGGTGATACGCTCTAGGGCTTTTAGCTGCAGTGAGCTATCCGGAAGTACCCCACCTAGCTCTAGCATCCTAGAACACCAGCGCTTCCACTTTCGTAGCAAGTCCACAGTGTCCTTTACAGACGTGCCCGGGCTGGGTTCCTGGATCTGACGCAACCCTATTTCTCTCTCGGATAACCCACCTGGTGAGTAAATCAAATAGAGTCGACAGACTACCTGCAAAAGTCCACTCACCCTAGCCGAGCTGACCTCATCTCTAACACCCTGAGGGGCAGCAGCAAGGATCATACCTTCAATCCTCCGCGACACTCGGGCCCACCTCGGCTGCAACACAACCGACGAAGGCGTCGGTTTATCAGTCAAGCGCGTGATGGCATCCAACCTTAGGTGTCGGGCATACCACAAATTGGCTTCTTCAAGAACCTTATCCCACAGCTCCTCACTGCTATCACTGACATCTGCCAGGGCAGGGCGCGTGCTGTGCAACCAATCTGAGAACGCCAAACAAGCCTCGGGACCCACTACTGGCAATTCAGGGAGCACTGAGACGCTCGACTTGATTGCCTCAGCCTTAGTGGGGCTTCGAGTCCCGGTCGCCATATCGGCGATGACACCTTGAAGTTGAGCCATTCCTGTAAGGACGACGCTCATGGGGTCAGGAGCTTCAACAGGTGCAGACAACGGCTCTTGAGGGACAGCTTGGGCATTGGTAGGTTCAGCAGCCGAATCGAAATCCAACACACGGGGCTCGACTGGAACCGGTATTGGAGCTCTCACTCCACTCGGTACCTCTGGGATACCTAAGTCGGGGTACCCAAAGGGAATAGGGCCTTGCGATCCAATCACCGGCGGAGGTGCAATCACTGCGGGCTGAGGGATATCCACTGGCGGTCTGGAAGTCTCGCCCGAGACGGAGAGTTCCGCACTTCCCGGAAAAGTCGATGCCGGGGGAGGAACGGGGCGTAACTCCAAAGCCCGATTGGGTGGCGGTGGTTTCGGAGGTGAGAGTCCGCTCATCAGGTTACCGAACCCCCGTCCCAACCAACTAAACCCTTGGAAGATACCCTGGTTCTCAGGCCGTTGCGTAAAATCTCTGCTGTACAACTGCGAACTCAATTCTACCCTATCTCTCTGAAGCTGCCGATTCTCAGAAGCCAGAATCTCCACTTGCAACCTCAAGTTCCGGGTTTCTTCATCTCGTACTGCCATCAGCTCCTGGAGCTGCTTGCGAACTTCATTCTGGATATCACTGGAAGTCGTAGACGGCGGTCGCATGCCACCAGAGGGTGGATCTGGATGATACAACAGCGGGGCCTCGGATCTCATGCCCTCGAGCCTTCTCAACGTGCCTTCATCCAACGGAGGTTCCCCAGAAGATTGAGCGCCTCGAGATCTCGGCACTCCATCGGGGCTCCCAGACTGTGCCGAGGCATAGCCCTCCACCTCAACCCCAGGCGCATGGCCAGAGGTCCTCGCGGACAAGCCTTGTCCAGTGACACGACCTTCCACAGTGGCAGGAAGAGACTGTACCGCCTTAGCCATTCCGGTAAGAAACGAGGGAGGCCTTCTCGAGGTCGTCGGGGTACTCATATTAGGATCTTGAGCAGAATCTTGGAAGGTCGCTTGGCTCGGACCCATGAGAAAGCCACGAACAGTGTCCTTCTGTCGAGGTCCCCTCGATCCACCATCCAGTCCAGAGTCCTGGGTCATTTCCCCGGTAGGAGCTGGCGGCAGAGTGGCCGTTGGCGCCACTGTTTCACCATCCATATCATGTTGGCCTGTCAACAGACCTCCAGGAACTCCGTTCATCCTCACTCGCCGGTCATCTCCGGCGGGCTGTTCTTGCGTAGTAGTAGCATTTGGGCGCATCATAACCTGTCGTTCTCCATCTAAGGGAGCTGCATTCGGGTTCTCATTGTTGCCAGATGCCATGAGTCTTGTCAAGATGTGTCCAGAAAGGCACAGGGGCGAATCACATGGGCTTACAAAGGCACTCGAATTTTCAACAAGCAACGTGCTCAATCTCTCAAGGTCTGTGCATGACTATACATGATTGAACTCTACGCTGTCGAAGATTTAGATCAATCGTCTAAATCATACGTGTGTGCATTGCACCTCACTTCGGGGCTCAGCCCCATTCAAGCCGTCAAGGCCTGCAGCATTTACATCATGAAGTGGTTCTCAACCCTAGCCATGGTTAGGAAGGGGAGTTCTACAATCCCCTATAGACCCCTTTTAAGGATCCCTTTAAAGGAACCCTATTATCCCTGTACTAAACCCCTATGTTGGGCTGGTTGGGGTCTTGGGATTTAAGGCGCTTCGGCCTGAGGGTTTTGGACTTGAAGCTTCGCCCAGCATTTACAGGCCCGAAGCTACTTAGAGGATCATGGGACTTAGTAGGTAAGGTTCCTTAAAGGGCTTCTTAAAGGGATCTATAGGGTTCCTTAAAGTGATCTAGGGGTTTAGGGTTTAGGGTCCACTTGGAGGATCATGGGACTTAGTAAGTAGGTTATAATTGGGGTTATAAGTCCCCTAAGTGGGGTTATCCTAACTATAACCTACTTATAACCTTACTTACTAAGTCCCATGAGCCTTCAAGTAGACCCAAAGGGGAAAAGGAGGGACCCTTAATGGAGACCCTACTACCCCATAAGGGGCTATATAATGGGTATACGATAGCTATATTAAGGGTACATACCTAGGTGTCCTTATTAAGGGTCCCTCCTTTTCCCCTTGGATAGACCCTAAACCCTAAACCCTAAGCCCCAAACCCTAAACCGGGATGGCGTGCCGATACATCTATAGCAACACAAAAAAATGCACGCAATTTCATGAAGGGGCTTGTAGGTCATCTGGGCCCCAAGAAGAACCCTACCTTAGAGTCACTGCCACCATCTATGTAGATATTCGCGCCCAAGGGTCGTCCACCTCCTCCATGTCTGCTTTGGCGGCCGAGAGCGCTGATTCGGCGAACGTCACGATGCGTCGGTAGACCTGATCTACGGTTCACAAGGCTTAAGGGTTCAGGGTTTGGGATTGCATGCTTGTGGCATCACAGCGCTGCGAGCGACGGGGCGTTTGCAAGATGTGCTCCCCTTTCCTACACACGGCTGTTGGTATTCTTCCGGCTGAATTTGGAGGCCTCTGCTAAATCCAAGGCTAAGAACAGTCCTCACGATTTCGGCTCCGGGCTTGAAATATCGAGCCTGCCCTGTTTTCAACAAGTTTGTAGAGATCGTAGAGCTTTTACCGAGGCTTGGGACGCTTCGTCACTGTCCAAAGCTTGCGAGGCTAGAGAGACTGACAAGCCTATGATGGTGCCCTTGAGTCTTGCAAGGTCCACAAAAATTACGACTTCGGAGGGGGTTCCAAGCAGCACCCTTGAAGAGCAGGAGGTTCGAGGAGGTTAGACTCATGACGTCAATGCTGTGGATCCCTTTTCAAAGAGGACTATAAGGCCTTCAACACACAAAAACCCATGCGAGCTTGCTTGCACCGCATCTTTCAGGCAAAAACAAGGTCTTTGTAGTTTGGGGAGTTTTCTGTGTAACAAGCACAACAGCTCCACGCTGCAAGTTGCAGGAATTTCGAATTAAAGGCGGGGAAGAACTCATGCGTCCCCACTCCATACCACGCCGCACTCCTGATGCCCCCGAAAACTTTGAGCGGCGCGGTAGACAAGTGCAAACCCTCAACACCAGACTAAACCACGAACGAACCCTAAACTCGAACTTCCACCCTAAACCTCAATCACCCCCGAACCCTCAAGCTCATTCAGACATACGCACACTGTAAACCCGCACACATAGCTGAATGAGGCGCCAGGCCTTCACAAGGTGGTTTGCGCCGCTGCGCTCATCCACGCAGAGCGCATCCGCCCAGGTCTCCTCGCATAGAAGGTGCATAGGCATGCGCTTCTGTTGCTATGCAGGCTGACTTGTAGATGTCTCGCAACATCTTTGCCTGGATTGCAAGCAGTATTGCTCCGATTGCGGTGGCGACGACGACTGTGAACCACTAAGCACCGTGTTCGCCACAGCTTGTACAAACTACAGTGTGGGAGACGCGTACATGAGACTGGTCAGTTCTCTCCTCATGCATACTGCAGCCTACACTTTACACATTGAGAAAGCCACCGTCTTTGTTCTAAGACGTTCAGTGCTTAGGCTTCACGACACAGGCATAGCCAAAACTCGACATCAACCTCAATTTCACTCCAACCGCTTGAAACCCCAAGCATTCGCCGGAGCTACAAGATTGAACTCTGCAAGCCCTATACTACACCCTAAACCCGATACTACAGCCTCAACATCCCTAAACACTAAACCCTATACTACACCCTAAACTCCACACCCCGAAGCTTCCAGCCGACCCTGCTGTCGCAGTCCTGCATATGTCGCTCAGCCTCTTGTGTCTCCTTCTCAAAGAGGAGAACTCCTGGGCTCTCTCACATCCCTCCCCCCCAGAAAGAAACAATATATATGCATTATATATATATATATACATATACATATGTATATGTATATACATATATATATATATATATATATGTATATCCAGGGTTTTAAAGTTTAATTTTAAAGTTTAGAGTTTCACTTCTATTCCGGTGACTCCCTTGTTAATTTGAGGGTTTCGGGGTCTGAAAAGCAAAGAAGCCAAACCTTCGAACCCTGAGGCCTCAACCCAAAAAACTTAGCTAAACGGATCCCAGACTGCCACTTACGTAAATATTCCGACCCACATGTAGGGATCCTTCAGCTCTAATTGAAAAGGCATCGACCAAAAACCCCAACAACACAAGACCCTAAAACGCTTGCACCCAAAACTACAATCAAAAGCAAACAAAAACTGGCTGCCACCTGGGCTCGACACTCCGTGGCCTCCTTGACCACCTGCCTAGGCGGCTGTTCAAGCCGCTTCAGAGGGGTTGTGACAGCGCTCCATTTTGAAGTATATACCTTTATGAGGCATCCGGTTTCTGCTAAAGGGGTTCTGTCTAGTATGTTAAATAAGGGTTCTATGGTCGTAGATGGTTTTCACAGGATTTAGGTCGAAGCCCCCTGAAGGGTTTCAACTAAGGAATGTGATTGCCTGCTGTCGGGGTTTGCAGTAAAATAGGACTTTACAGTCTTAAGCTTGAGGGTATATAGATTAGGAGTTCGGGACCTGGTTTATAGCTTCGGGCAAGGCTACTTCTGGGGCTTGCGGCTTTGTCGCTAGCACAGCAATGGCAGTGGGGACCGGGAGACAACAGGCATGGGCCGCAAGTCTCAGTTATGAGCTCACCTTCTTCAATACTGGGTGGTGTCTGGGTGGGGCTCCCAAAATCAACAAACATCAGCGTCACGAATGACATTGTGCAGTTTCTTAACTTGGAGAATAAGACGATCGTATGTTGGAGTTCTCTGTTCAGTGAATGAAAGCTTCCAGCTTAAGAAACCAAATTGCCCAACCTCATCTGGGTCTCCTTCGGGCTCATACTTTTCAGGATTCAGGGTCCCAGTTGAGTGTCTCCTTTCAGCACCAACTTACCTTTGGTTAGTAGTATGGAATGGAAGAATGGTAATAATCGTAGTTATAATTGTACCCCATTCCTCCATTCCCTACTGACCCACCCAAAGTAAGCCAAGCCGCTGCATGAACTGAGCCTTGATCGGATCAGTTTGAGCTGCCTTCAGCCACAGAGTTTAGGCTTTAGGGTCTAGGGTTTAGGGTAAAGGACTGTGGTGAGAAGGACAGGAAGATGGCGGCAGCTCTTAAGAAAGCGTGGGAGTTAGGGTCTAGACTGCGAAGCTTAAGATTGCAGTTTCTGGATCTGAAGCTTTGAGCTTGGGCTTAGTAGGCTCTCTACTGCGGTTAGTCGCGACTGCTCTTTGGTACTAGCTGTCCGATATTGTAGCACTTAGCTGCCTGTCCCGGTTTCTCACTTCTCTTGCCGGGCTTGCGGCTTGAAAAACCCAAGAGTGCTACGTACAACTCATGCACCACCGTTCCTGTCCGTAGTACGGTTCGTTACGGATATGCCCAACATTCGCGCGCGTACTGTCATGGTCACTGCTGATTTTTACTTGCATTGAGACTCATACGATCATCGCGATGACTAAGGACACGCTGCAGCATTACCAGTAATTAGTGCTTCAATCACCTGTGCTCACTCTAGCACTCAAGTTTTTGAACGAAAATTGCTTTTGCTGAGCTAGATAGCACAATCCCGACCCGTTAAGCCACATCCAGCCAAAGGCGCCAAATCTTGAAACCCTAAGCCGCGCATGGAAACCTTAAAGAGTAACCCTCATCTAGAATGCCCAGTAACCTAGGAATAAAAACGGCTCCCTTTCTGGTATTGGGTAACTTTGTAAGGAACTTAGGACTGAAAAAGGGAATGAGGGTGCTACTGGGCATCCTATGTAGTCATTAGAAAATGTTAGAGGGTCCCTTCCAAGGTCGCCTCCAGCAACCCCCCCCCCCTCCACCCCCCCAGCACCTCGGCGCCCAAAAAGCCCAGCGTCTTGATGAGGTCGCTCCCTGGCGCAGGTCGGGGCTTTAAGGTTACTACTTATGCGGGCCACAATAATGGTTCTATACTGGGGGGTGGAAACAACAGTTCCTAGACGGAGTCTACAAGGCTGTACCACAAGGGCTACAAGAAGAGATACTGCAAACGGGTCGGTTTCGGGCTCACGACTGCAAGGTTTGGGGTTGAGGGTTTTGCTCTGATGTCTAATTTGCCGCGCTCAGGTGATCAGGTGTTAGCACAATTTCGGGGATGTGGTGTTGTCAATCCGGAAGGAGCAATGTCGGCGAAGTCAAGATGTCGAGGAAGCGGAGAAAGAAGAGTTGGCGACTGACGTGTGAGGGGTGCCCCTCAAGCCTGTCGTGTGATCTTGCGGACCCGTTCTTTAAGATCGAAAACCCTAAACCCTAAACCCTATATAAATACCCTATATAAACCCTGACTGCCCTAAACCCCGAAGCACACCAAAACCAACAACAGCAACATACTCAGCTTGAGGGCGGCCAGAGCCTGCCATCAGCTGCTGGCGCTCCGGATGCTCCTCCCAAGGGAAAGCCAGCTGGCCATCGGTGTCCTGTGCTTTTGCGGCTTAGGGCTTCCAAGCTTCGGGGTTAGGGTCTAGCGTTTAGGGTTTAGATAGGGTTTAGGCTTTAGGGTTTAGGGCTTCCAAGCTTCGGGGTTAGGGTTTAGGGCTTAGGGTTCAGATAGGGTTTAGGGTTTAGGGCTTCCAAGCTTCCCAGACCCCCGGGAGGATCCAAAAAGTAGATCCCTTAATGGGGGTTCCTATAAAGTACCCTATAGGGCCCCAAAAATTAGGGGATCTACTTTCTGGATCCTCCCGGGGGTCTGGGTTCGGGGTATCAGAGGGTCTTAACTTCCTTGAGGCTTTATGGATTCGAAGCTTCGGGGCCGCAACCTCCAGCCGCAAACCCCGCAACCCTCACCCCTACTTGGAGGTTCATGGGTAGTTATAAGTGGGGTTAGACGTCCCCTAGTATGGGCTATAAGTATAGCTACCCTACTTAACACCCCACGCCCGAACCGAAACTACCCGAAATGCTAAACGACCCACATCCTTCGCCCCTCACGCCCACAAACATCAGACCGCCAAACCTGCTGAAACCCCAGCCCGTGCACCCCAAAGTCACTAGCGCAAAGCTCGGCACTGCCTTCAGCGCATCGTAGGCCTCTGCAATGCGGGCGAAGCGCTTGTGAGCTCCTTCCTGGCACAGAGTTGGGTTCCGGGAACTTTGGGCGTTCTTTGGGAGGGGGAGGGGTTTATTTTTTGTATGTGGAGGACATAGCCGATTTGCCCCCGCCCCCCCCCCCCAAACGCACCAACCTGCAGGCCCCTCAACCCAAACCCTAAACCATAGAATGCCTTCAAAAGACGTATCTGCCCAGGCAGTAAGGGCACCATCAAGAGCCCAGGAGAGCTCCAGGCCCCGTTTACCTCTCAACGACCCTCACCCAGTGTGGTCCTTAGTAGGGAGTGGGGGAATGGCTGGCTATTGGGACTACTATAGGGGACCTTAAGAGACTATCTTCCCTACTTGGAGGATCATGGAGTATGGTCATAAGCACCTCAATTGGGGTTATAAATATAGTTGCCTGAATAATACCCGTAATTGCTAAGCCCCATGATCCTTTAAGTACTAAGAACCAGACAAGCAAAATGCAGACTGGAGCCGCCTGAGAGCCCAAACCAAAACCATCTTCCCGGTCATCTTCCCTGCCCCCGGCGCAACCGTAAATCTGTGAACCCAAGATGCTGAAACGGTAAAGCCCCCCCGACCCGACAAACCCTGCTCCCCAAACCGAAAATCCGTCTACGAAGCCTTCGTGGGATGTTCTGACTTGTTCTAGATTTACACGAAGACGGGGTCGATATGGCACGACTCAAGGAGTCTGCTGCGCTCTCGGAACACAGCAGCTCCTGTGTTGCAATGTCATTACAAGTACTGCTAAAACCTAGACCTAAACCCTATAGACTCTCGACCAAAGAGTGCCGATTCAGTCAAGCTGTGCAGTGTGAGGCAAAAACGTGATTCGTAAGTCGCAAGTTGAACCCATAGTGCTATGATTCACAATCAAGGGGTCCTGGCTCTTGTAACTTTGGCTATGCCCGGAGCAATAAAAATCAAAACAGTTTCCGCTCCTTTGAACACGAAGTATACAACCCCCGACACAGTCGACGGCATGTGAGGGGGTGTAAGCGTCCTCCTTGCACTTGTCGGGATGGTAGCGAATGGACAGCTTCCGATATTGTGCCTGTGAACTCAAATTACGGCTTGGATCGGGACTCGGGGGTTGCGATGTTTACGTTATAGTTTGGAATGGGAGGTCAGGGGTCAGGGGGAAGGGAACTAAGATTTGGCTTGGGATGCGGGCAGGGTGGGCAAGTAGAAAAGCGTGTATGTAATTACAGAAGCGGGTTTGTCTTGCGGTGCACAGCTCTGGACCAGACCTGTAACGCTGCAGACAACTGCCGACATCTTCTCGAAGAGCGCCACCGGTAATACCATTGAGTTGTGTTGCGCAGACGAACCACGCAAGCTGTCTTTGGACTTTGAAATTGTAATCCTTCGAAGCTTCGAATCACCGGCATCGGGCGCCTTTATTTCGGCTTTGCTGGCGGTGTCAGGAAGCTCGAGAGCCTCCCAATCGCTGCCTAAAGCAGCGGAGCTTCGGGCTTTTGGGGTTTCCGCTTTAGGAAAACTCTAAGCCCTCGACACCAAGCCTTATATGACTCCACACTTCGGGTAACGCGATCGGCATGTGGCCATGAGCCGTCTTCGCTGCTCATTCGAATCAGTGCCCTTAGTGCCACTAGCTCGAAGTTTGCCTGAGCACTCTACCGTAAAGGTTCAACCGAACCGTGGACGTTTTCGTGTCGGGTTTCGGCTTATGATGAGAGTCTGGGCTGCTGAGTCTAATCAGGATACAGGACGGCTTGGCGTTCAAGATTGCGTACTAAAACTGTTCGCCACCAGGAATTCCTGATTCTGAGATGCTATTAACTACCCCAAAACCGTGGTCTCATTGCTAACGCCCCTGCATCCAGAGCTATGGAACCGTTCCGCAAGATCAATCCTCGGAACTTCGGGATCCATCAAACAACTCCATGTAGCCAAAGCGCTGTGATGCGGGTACACACCCACCTGGACTGACATCGATTTAGGCCCAACTTAGGGCTCATAAGGTTTAGGGTTTTGGGGCTTAGAGGGTGTACGGTTTACGAGCGCGTAGGGCCTTGGGCCTGGAGGGAGCATACAGAGCTTCTGAACGTTTTTGAGGCCGGCGATCCTTCGTCGGCTTCGAGTGGCTAGTGAAGGCGATGCTATTCGTAACCAACTCAACCACGCAGCATCTCGGGTTTGTGACTGAAGCTACGGATGTAGCCGAGGTTTGTGGGCGGTTCGGACGCCGGGACAGGGCTTTCGGGATCGGAACTTGGACTTCGGATTTGCAGTTCCTCGGGATTTGCTCTTTGAAAAGCTCGTCCCCAGACAAACGGCTGAAAACCGGGACATCAAACTGCACCGCAGTTTGAAGAACCTGGGACCCAAGAAAACCTGAGCTAATTAAGAGATCAAGACCATGCGAAGAAGAGGAAGGAAGACGATGGCAACGGCAGCGACGAAGGCTGCTGCTACTGCTACGGCTAGCACCACCATTTCGCATGATGATGGCGATGATGAGAACTGGCATTGCCTTAAAGTTTCGGGCTCTAGGTTGCAGGTCGAAGAACACCTGGCCCAAGGCAAAGCATAACCATAAAATCTACAATGTCCTTTTGCCACAGATGCCCGCTCAAGTAGATGCCCAAAAACTTCGGCACGAACAAACGTGGGGCCTGGTGGCCTCTGTCTCACTGAGGCGAGGGCGCTTACTTTCGACTCAGCCTCCTGCCGTCGGGAAGCCAAAGAAGAGCAAAAGAAGAAACAACTGCTAATGTTGTCACTGTGGCGATGATGCCGACAATACTCGCGAGTATGCTTCCGATAATTTGTTCGGCTCTTAGATACTACAGGAAAATCGGATGCATATTCGTCGACTATCAACATTCTCCGATGTGACTGCCAGCTACTAGAAGTAGAAGTGGAAGTGATAGTGGAAGTAGACGTGGAAGTCGAAGTAGACGTCTAACTGCAAGAAGCAGAAGCAGACGCAGAAGCACAAGTAGCAGTCACAGTAAAGTAGAAGCAGACGTAGAGGTACAAGTAGAAGCAGAAGTAAAAGTAGGAGTAGGAGCAGGAGCAGAAGTAATCGCCGCGGTAGTAGTAGCAGGAGCAGGAGCAGTAGGAGAGTAGAGTAGGAGTAGGAGTAGGAGTAGGAGTAGGAGTAGTAGGAGTAGTAGGAGTAGTAGGAGTAGTAGGAGTAGTAGGAGTAGTAGGAGTAGTAGGAGTAGTAGGAGTAGTAGGAGTAGTAGGAGTAGTAGGAGTAGTAGGAGTAGTAGGATTAGTAGGAGTAGTAGGAGTAGTAGGAGTAGTAGGAGTAGTAGGAGTAGTAGGAGTAGTAGGAGTAGTAGGAGTAGTAGGAGTAGTAGGAGTCGGAGTCGTAGGAGTAGTAGGAGTAGTAGGAGTAGTAGGAGTAGGAGCAGTAGTAGTAGTAGTAGTAGTAGTAGTAGTAGTAGTAGTAGTAGTAGTAGCAGTAGCAGTAGCAGTAGCAGCAGCAGTAGCAGTAGCAGTAGCAGTAGCAGTAGCAGTAGTAATGGTAGTAGAAGTAGCAGCAGGAATAGTAGTCGTCGATGTCGTAGTCGTAGTCATGTAGTGTTTGAATCGAACTGTGGGCACGCAGCACTGTTCTGCAGCACACTGACATGTATACAGACACATGCGCCAAAACGGTGCTGCTGGTGCCTCCCACATGATGAACATGAGCACCTGGAGTGTTTTTCTCAGACGGTTCCGGGATGAATGGAGGGAGCGTCGACAAACAAAACTACAGCGTAGCATCATGGCAGCCCCGTCTACAAGGATCGGCACGACCCCATGTTGTTGTCAATGCTTTGCTTGCAAGCATGTGAGAAGGTTTGAGGGCACATGCTTTTTGCGGTGAGTATAAGGGTGAGCTCATTAATCACAATCATCACTAAAAATGCAGACCTCGATTTTACTGAAAAAGGTTTCGGGTGTATATAGTCCCAAACCCCGCGAAAAGCACCGGAGAATGCCCCGGACATCTCGGACTTGGCAACCTTGCAGCCGACTCCCCGAATTTATCAACCATCAACCCAAACCCCCAAAGGCCCCGAAAAACAAAGGATCAAACAAAAGTGGAGTGAAGTGAATGAGACCAGGCCAGAGTCCGGTCAGAAAGCAGCATCACCCCCGGACAGAAGGCTTAAGGATCAAGCCGCAACAAATGCACCGTAGTACCGCCCATAAACAAGCCCGTAACCTAGGCCGATGATGGCCCCACGCCCTCAACGCCCTAAACCTAGAACCCTCCCAAACTACCACACCAGAACCCCCAAACCAGCGACCTTAAGAATTAGATCCCTTTATAGACCCCTAAAAGGATCCCTTTAAAGGAACCCTCTTATCCCATACTAAACCCTGCTCCGCCTTGAGCTCTGGGGGCTTCTCACCCTCGCCCAACACCGGCTTTCTGGCCATGGGGCAGATGCCTGAATCCGAGTCATGGGGGGGGGTTCCGAAAGTAGGGGACCCTGCTGTAGTACCCTGAATAGTAGGATCCATATTATAAGGACCCCCAAGTAAGGTATCGCTAATTTTCGGAAACTCCCATGGCGCATGTGGCCAGAGTCGACTTTCCGGGTGTTTCTGGGGTTTAAGTTGGGGTGGATTACAACAATAGCGATCCTTCTTGAAAGCGATGAAATCTGAAATCTCGAAGCTGGGATCGCAGACCCAATTCTTGAGGGCTCAGCGTTCATATCCCATGGGCCTTCAGTTGGACCTGGCGCTCTAGATTGGATTATCACTTCCATTCAGGGTGTACGATTAGGGTGTAGGGTCACTGAGGGCATGGGGCTAGACTTTAGGGCTTGCGGATAAGTCGCACATCCCCCCGCAATGCCACCCGAAGCCTAAACAATCCAGTAAGCCCAGAAAGAGCACGTCCCAGAATGGCCCTTGCAGGAGTAGAGCCTGAAACCCGGATTCCCAAAAGGTGGTTGTGCACCGAAAAAAGGCCTAGGTTGCCTCAAACTCAACAAACTGCAAAGCCTGAATCAAAAAGATCTTTGAACATATGTGGAGTGACCTGCAGGAAACCGAGTACATAGACAGAACACTCGACCCAGAAGACATCTTGAGCCGAACTTTGGGCTTGCAGAGCAATTGCAGAAAATCGGTGACACCCATATACAGTACACACACACCAAACAACGAGAACCCTCAAAAACAAGGACTCTAAAACCAACCGGTCGAAAAAGCATCCGTCATCTTAAGAAACCTCAGAATCATGGCCGAACTCTTCATCTGCGCAGCCTTCGAGCCCCGTGATCGGGCATATCCTGCGCAGCTTACCATGGTTCAGGATGTCGGATATGGAAGTTTCTTCAACCTCGGGCTGCTCTTGATAGACCGTTATAATTAAGAGGATGCTATTATTGCTTCCTTTCGGGGATAGGCGGGATCGGGTTAATACCCCGGATCCCAAACCCCAAACCAAAAGCATGCCCTTGCTTCGCGAAGTGAACCGTCTTCAAGCTGCGGAATGGTTTCGGAATCCTAATCTTCACGGTATGTGGCTGCTGCAGACCATAGCCACAACCTCAGTGTGTGCACATATGTATGTGCATCTATGTATATACAATGCATGTACACACACACTCACTCACTCACTCACTCACTCACTCACTCTCTCTGACTCACTCACTCACTCACTCACTCATTCACTCACTCACTCACTCTCTTTGACTCACTCACTCACTCACTCACTCACTCACTCTCTCTGACTCACTCACTCACTGACTCACTCACTCACTCTCCCTGACTCACTCACTCACTCACTCACTCACTCACTCACTCTCTCTCTCTCTCGCTCTCTCTCTCTCTCTCTCTCTCTCTCTCTCTCTCTCTCTCTCTCTCTCTATATATAAGTATATATGATACGGAATGATCAAGCAGATCGTTTAAGCAGGGCTCCTGCCCTCTGTTGACCTGGCCGCACGAGTCGCGGGCGCTGCAGCCTGCTCCTCCAGGCTTTCGGGCTTCCGAGGGTTGTTATTGTTGCTGCTATTATGACTATTACGATTAGCCTCACTACTATCATTGTTGTTAATTGTTACGAGTAGTAGTACTACTATCATTCTTATGGTCATGATTTGCACTATCAATATTGATATTAATAAACTCCTTTCTCTTGTTATGTTTATTACTCATATCGTTATTCTTATTTTCATATTACTACTCCTGTTACTGCTATTTGCACTTGGGTTAGTCTTTTTATAACCGCTTTTGGGTGTCATCATCATCGTATGAGAGGTGTGTCACAATGTGGGCAGGCACCCATGCATGCGCTCTGCTCCCAGGATTCCCAGGGTCCGGGGTCCGAGATTTCAGCGCTCTCTCTCTGCCCCGGGGTTGTGTTCAATGCCGGGCGTTTCAGGGAAATCGAGGGTTCGCGGTTGAGGGCCTCTACTTGGAGGTTCTGGGTTGTAATGGGGCTACACGTCCCCTAGCATGGGTTGTAATTGTAGTTATTATACTAGAAATAACCCCACTTGTAACTATTCATGAACCTGCAAGTAGGGCCGTGGATCTGACAAGTCCCCTGACCTTTCATGCGTGCTCTTTCGAAGATGGCTCTTGGTTGGTTCACGCCTTCCGAGTTCCGGACCTTCGCGAGCTGGAGCCCGCGCTCAAGCTTATCGATTTCGTGATAGTATGGGTATATGTTTTAATACAGTATTATCGAGTATCCTACAATAACGAATAACAATAACAGTAATGACACTAATAATGATAATGGCGTTTGGGTCCAGTACCTCGGCGGGATGAGCCGGCGCCAGCCGCTGCGTCAGATCGACCGGGCTCCTCCAAACGCTTTTGGAATCTAGGAGTCCAGCCTTCAAGAGAGGGCTTCCGTCCTTTGGGGCCAGGGGTGAAGCTTCTGAGTTTCAGCATTGCTTGCGGCTTCCAGTTGAGCCGGCCGGGGACACAATGTTGCACTGTAGTGCTGAGAGTTTGTGGTTTAGCATTTCGGGAGCTTTCGGGTATTCTTCCCTGGACCGACATCGAGTGCTCAAGCCATTTCTGTGGGCCGTTCATGGGCATCGGGCTCTTGATTAAATCTAGGGCTTCATATTCATATCATTTCTTTCCCTCGCTTGCTCCCTCGTTTCCATGGTCGTCCTCTCTCTCTCTCTCTCTCTCTCTCTCCCGGGCATGAGGGCGGGTCAACGCCCTCGGGCCAATGGCCCCCCCGCTGTTTTAACGGGTGTTTTGAGGGGTGAAGAATGAGTCACGAACACAGTTTCGGCTAAAGCCATATATAATACGATAACGTTAACTGTGTTCCATTTGACTCTCACGTTGACACGTGCATAGTCATTCCTTTGTATTCCCCCTATAGTCAAGATTGAGGGTCGTATCATTATATAGGGGGTACAAAGGGTGACCTCGGGAGGATGGTTGTATCCAAAAGTCTGCAGTCTCCCCCATGATGCCATTATGGATATTTGCAAGCAAAAGAACACCCAGGATCGCAAAATCACTAGTTTTCCTTGGCATCACTTTCATGGGGTTTTTGAAGCAAGGGAAATGTGGAGATCGGAGTCCATCGGGGTTTGTAGTACAACAAAAAACACCACTATACATTCACGTGTTACCAGTAACAGTATGCTCCCCCGTTGGACCACTTGATCTCGTCTTCACAAGTAGGATGCTTGTAGCATACAAGACGGAACTTTGTGTCGGAAGGGCATTGTAGTATGAAACAAGGACACAGCGTTATATGATGGCCTACAGGTCGAAACATGTGTAGGAAAGTACTCTGCCCATCCTGCCTCCTACTTGACCTACTTCATCGTGCGAGATCGCGGGGTCCACTTTCTGAAAGCAACAATGCAGGCTCACTTGGAAATTGTTTTCCCCCGGACCAGCTGATCTCGGTTTCGTACGTAGAACTCATTGCACATGTAAATTTAGGCACCTTGTAGGAGGGGCAGCATTGTAAGAAACAAGGGCACAGCTGTATCTAAGAGGCCTATAGGTCAAACCATGTGTAGGCAAGTATCCTGCCCCTCCCCCGAGCCACAAACGAGAGCAAGGTCTGAACTCTGACATACTTTGTGGAATCGAGGATGTCGCGACAAGACCCTGCAGGCAGAAACAGGATAGCCATGTAAACCACAAAAGTCCCTCATCCCCCGAAATCTCGATTCATCGAAGTGGGGACTGTCCCCAGGTCGTCCTCTCTCTCTCTCTCTCTCTCGCTCTCTGCCCCTCCATCCCTCTGCATGAACTTACTAAACTACATCCCTACAGAAGCTGCGTCTGTGATTGTTGCTTTTCTTGGCCTGGTGTTTTAGGGCGGCATACGGAAACGCCAATTTGGAAGGCAATAGCTGCAGCAAGGCCATACACAGACGCTCGTCTCTGCTCTATGCAAACCCCAGACCCGCGGGAGGATCTAGAAAGTAAATCCCCTAATTTGGGGCCCCATACTACTAAGGGTACTTTATAGGAACCCCCCATTAAGGGATCTACTTTTTGGATCCTCCCAGGGGTCTGGGACTTTCAGGAGTTGGGCTGAAGGCTTGGTGAGGAGAGAAAGAACAAACCTATAGTCTCCATTGTAGTTCCTTTTTTTTGTTTTTCTTTTTTTGTTCCTTTTTTCTTTCTTGAAAAAAGTGCCATTGTGTTTACTTTTTTGGTTTAAGCAATACTATATTAAGGATCCTAAAAGGTAACCCCAAAAAGGAACTACAATGGAGACTATAGGAAGCTTCAATGTTTATCCGACCGCCCTGATGCGGATGATCAAGAAACAACACTAACACGGCCCTAAACCCCAAACCCTAAACCCAAACCCGAAACCCGAACCCTAAACCCCAAGCTAACTCTGACCTCCGTCGGCAGCAGAACATCGCGCACGGGGAAAGCCAGCGAGGTGCCGACTCTCATCAGCTGGAGCTACCACTTCATAGTTTCTTAATTTTTCTTTAGTATAGGATTTAGGGTTTAGAGGTGTTCTCACGCTGACGAGAAGCTTTACAATTCTTGGAACTAGCACGAATACTGGGAGTCAAGCCAGCATTTGCTCGTTGTTGCGGGTTCAGAACGTAACGTCTGGTTTAGGCATGCGGTTTCGGCATGAATCATAAGCTGAGGTCGTGTAGCTTGTAAGCCGTAAACCCAAGCCCTGTAAGGCCTCACCAAAAGGGTGCAAAGAGTACCTATATAGTAGAATGTATGGTTTCCATAGTAGGAATTACTAGTATGATTTGGGGAAGTATCCCCCATAACAGTACCTAGGACGCTTGGGGTCAGGAAGGAACGAGGTGCGCGCTACGGATCGGCAGTCGAGCCGAAACTGGGTTTGAGGACTCAAGCACTGGGGGAGTCTCCAGGTAGTGCTGGGCAATATTGGGGCCTTAATAACAAAAATGGGGTTTTGGGGGCCGATTAAACTAGTAGTTATAATAAGGAACGCCCAAAATCGTATAGGTAATTATTAAATGACGACCCTGAGACCTGAACCACAACCTGCAAAAGCCGATTCTGCAGCAGCAGCTGGGTCCTATCCTACTTATTTTCATGATGCCACACACGATGACGTCAGGATACTTCAGGCAAACTCGGCCGCCGACCACCGTAATGAGCTAAGATGGCCAAAGCTTGTAGCCTCAGCGGAGCAGGACGGCAAGCCTCGAATCCCAGACCGTTCGACCCTAAAGCACAAGACCTCGATCCTTAAATCTTCAAATCGAGCCTTCAACCCCAAAGCCCTGAAGCTCTTGCCCTAAAGCCATCACTCCGAACCCTGAACCTTAGCTGCCTTAGCTCTTAGACGTCTCCATCCCCCCATTGCAGAACCCAACAGAGATCAAGGCCCCAAACATGATATCTAACTGTACGGGCATTGCAAAGGAGCAGCAGCATCGCTAGTTCTTGAGTTCACTACATCCTACTACCAGAGCCCGGGAAACAGTCGACGACAAGTTGAAACATCCTGTTGCCCCCTTGAACTCAGGCTCGTTTACACGGGTAGCCATCCCGGAAATGCGACCTCGGCGTGCGGCTCCGGAGCTCTACGCTGAGCTTTCGGACTTAGGGTCTTAGGGTTTCGAACTTGAAACACAGAAAACGAAACACGGAGACCCGACAACCCGGAATCCTTAACTCAGAAGAACACGCTGCATCCGAAAACCGCCCTGCAGCCACAGCTCAGCCAAGGCCGCCACCCACACCTCTGCAGCTCCTTCACACCGTAGTGCCTGCCGGCTGAAAGAGTCGCTGTCTAGGCAGCGAGCTTGGGGTTTAGGGATCCAGAAGCCTAAACGAAGGTTTAGGGGTTTGGCTTTTGGGGTATTCGCTCATCTAACCAGATCATGGGCCAAAACTGTTGCACAATGTGACAATGAGCGTTGAAAGGGGCGATATAGAATCTAGATACACATCATACAATCTGATGTAGATAGCCAGCTGCTAGCTAGCTAGCAAATCAAGTCGTCCTTTATCACTATCAGGGCCGCCTATGCCGATGCTGGTATGAAACCGCATGACAGATTGCGCCGGTCCATCGAAACCAGGTTTAGCATTCAGGGGGATTCGTATGCTCAGAAGTACAGGATAATGATTCTGGGAATCCCACAAGGTATCCTAAGTTACAGCATCCCACCCCACCCATCTTTACAGGACTTAGATATCTCTACTCTAACCTTGAAGCCACTTTAGTCCCACGGCCCTCCCACAAACCCCAAACCCCTAAACTCACTCCTAGTTAAATGGAAAAAAAACCTCCAAGCTTTGCCTGTCTAGCATCTCGCAGACCAGCTGCGCCGCACCGGCGCCCACAAAGGCAGCCGCCTCGTTACGGAAGTCTCAGGACGGAAGCTCCACTATGCTCCCAATCAATAGTTACTAAACCCCAACGCTGTTCTAGGATTTGAGATTCGTTTCTAAGGATTGAGGGTTCAGATTTGGGGAAACCCGTTCAGCCCAACTCTCCATACTTAGACGACAAACTATACGCACTGCTGTAGGGGAATGGATGCCAGTCTTAGCCTCGACCCGCCAGTCAGAATCTTCTGGCTACGATGTGTTCAGGCGGGAGTACTCTGAGTCTAAAGCCCCGAACCTACAAGCCCTGAACCTCTGAACCCTAAATCCTCAGGCTCCTACCAAATGAAGGTAACCCCCTAGATCCGACAAAGGTCTCATAAGTATCCTGAAGAGCCCATGAAACCCGGAAGCACAACCCGAGTCAAACCCTCGGAACACCGTACAGGAACAAGGTAGAATCAGGTAGAAGGCTGGGAACCCAAAATATCTAAGCAAACCTGCACAAGCCGTAAAATAAAGCCGTGCTTTCACGTTTTATGTACACGTACGTACACGAAAACATTCGCATATACACAAACATGCACGTACATACACACAGGCACACAAAACTATATATCTATATATGTATTATATACATACATGTATATATGGACATATACACCTACATATACTGTAACTACCTATACCTAGACATGCAGATACAAAAACAGAAACACCTAAGGCTTTCTTGTAACCCCGTGGGGAGCCCCGCGTTCTCCACGTGGTGCCGCGCAGCGCGGGCCAGGAGCTGGCAGCCCAGCTCGCAGAGACGTCGCCTAGGGGCTACTTGGAGGTTCAGGGGTAGTCATAAGGGTTCCTTTAAGGGCCCCTATAATGGGATCTATAGGCATTCTATAAGGGTATAGGGTTTAGGGCCGACTTGGAGGTTCATGGGTAGTTATAAGTGGGGTCAAAGTCCCTTAATATGGGTTATAAGTATAGTTACCTTACTTAAAGCCCCACTTACAACCAGCCATGAACCTCCAAGTAGGAAGCTTCGGAAAGATGACGAACCCAGGCTCGACTTTTGCTTAAGGAATCTGGCTCGGAGCTTCGGGGCTCTAAGGTGCCTCCAAGGTTTCCCACCCTGAAACTAGGGTTTAGGGTTTAGGGCTTTTTTTTTTTCGGGGGGGGGGGGGGGGGGGGCTCTTTTCCATCCATCTGTGAAGCAGCGGGAATTCCTATACCAGAAGGAGACTGTGGTTGTTGGAGTGGACCCTACTCAACCAACCCCCTTGGTACGGGTTTAGGGGTTTAGGGTTCAGATCGTCCTGGTGTGCATCTTAGTTACTGATGTTTCCTAGCATTTTGGCGATTCGGGATACTCTTCTGGCTCTACAGATTTAGAATAATGGGGGCTCTTCTGGCTCTACAGATTTAGAATAATGGGGGCACTTGTGATCTAGGAGAGAACGATCAGGGTTCTTGGGGCACTACCTGGGGAACCAGTACTGGAACTCCAGAAGGGTTTATTGGGGCGCTTTCGGTTTTCAAGGGGTTACAGAAATCATGATTTCAACCGTTTACCC